GGTGTAGCCATATAAATGAGAGAAATGATGGGTCCATCAATAAAGTAGATATAGCTATAGTCTATCATACAAATTAAAAGCTCTCAATGGTTAGACGCTTACCTCAAGATGTGTTTGTAGCTGCAGAAATTGCACCATCAGCTGCTCAAAGATCCTCATGAACCTGTGTTCCATAAAATAGAGGTTTAAGCCCTGCAGTTCAAATACGTGAAGGGGAAATGTCATCACTGCCCTCAACACACTCTCTACTCTCTGTACAGCCAGATTGCGACTCACGTCTCCTTCAATGTCTACTTGTGTATTGATCACCTTCAGCACTTCTAATTGTGGTGCTATCTTTTTTACCAATCCAACACATCGCCTCGCTATATCAGAAGATTTTATTTATTTTAATATATATATATATATATATATATATATATATATATATACATATATATATATATATATATATATACATATATATATATATATATACATATATATATATATATATATATATATATATATATATATATATATATATATATATATATATATATATATATATATAGATCACTATAATAAACCGCCACCGCAATCATTTCAAGAGCTCCCACCCCCCACCTCGAGAAAAAAGGTCTGAAAGAAAAACTAACTGAATGATTGAGTTTTAGCGGCCAAAAGCAGGAGACCGGTCAAGATCATAGATGTAGTGTCTACCTTTAGTCTGAGTCTGTATGATCTATAAATGCTGTGTTTAGAAGTAGGGTCTACCTTTAGTCTGAGTCTGTATGATCTATAAATGCTGTGTTTAGATGTAGGGTCTACCTTTAGTCTGAGTCTGTATGATCTATAAATGCTGTGTTTAGATGTAGGGTCTACCTTTAGTCTGAGTCTGTATGATCTATAAATGCTGTGTTTAGATGTAGGGTCTACCTTTAGTCTGAGTCTGTATGATCTATAAATGCTGTGTTTAGATGTAGGGTCTACCTTTAGTCTGAGTCTGTATGATCTATAAATGTTGTGTTTAGATGTAGGGTCTACCTTTATTCTGTATGATCTATAAATGCTGTGTTTAGATGTAGGGTCTACCTTTAGTCTGAGTCTGTATGATCTATAAATGTTGTGTTTAGATGTAGGGTCTACCTTTAGTTTGAGTCTGTATCATCTATAAATGCTGTGTTTAGATGTAGGGTCTACCTTTAGTCTGAGTCTGTATGATTTATAAATGCTGTGTTTAGATGTAGGGTCTACCTTTAGTTTGAGTCTGTATGATCTATAAATGCTGTGTTTAGATGTAGGGTCTACCTTTAGTCTGAGTCTGTATGATTTATAAATGCTGTGTTTAGATGTAGGGTCTACCTTTAGTTTGAGTCTGTATCATCTATAAATGCTGTGTTTAGACGTAGGGTCTAACTTTATTCTGTATGATCTATAAATGTTGTGTTTAGATGTAGCGTCTACCTTTAGTTTGAGTCTGTATGATCTATAAATGCTGTGTTTAGATGTAGGGTCTACCTTTAGTCTGAGTCTGTATGATCTATAAATGCTGTGTTTAGATGTAGGGTCTAACTTTAGTCTAAGTCTGTATAATCTATAAATGCTATGTTTAGATGTAGCGTCTACCTTTAGTTTGAGTCTGTATGATCTATAAATGCTGTGTTTAGATGTAGGGTCTACCTTTATTCTGTATGATCTATAAATGATGTGTTTAGATGTAGGGTCTACCTTTATTCTGTATGATCTATAAATGCTGTGTTTAGATGTAGGGTCTACCTTTAGTCTGAGTCTGTATGATCTATAAATGCTGTGTTTAGATGTAAGGTCTACCTTTATCTGAGTCTGTATCATCTATAAATGCTGTGTTTAGATGTAGTGTCTACATTTAGTCTGAGTCTGTATGATCTATAAATGCTGTGTTTAGATGTAGGGTCTACCTTTATCTGAGTCTGTATGATCTATAAATGCTGTGTTTAGATGTAGGGTCTACCTTTATCTGAGTCTGTATGATCTATAGATGCTCTGTTTCTTACAGACTGTTTTTCACCGGGGCTGGTTATTTTCAGGGGAAGGGGGAATGTGGGGATTACCGGGTGGTGGGAGGCCGACACTGGTAACAGTATATATATTTTTTAGATAAATTCTGTTTCGCTTTAGGGGGCGGTAGACATTCTTCCGGGGGCTAAGCCCCCTCCACCTCTCCCCCCCCCCTCCCCGAAGAGATGCCGGAAAGAAACTCTGAATGCAACTTTTGTTAAGTTTAAGGTAAGGTAAGACTACGGCTATATTTAATGTGAAGGTGCAGTAGTTACATGTAGATCAAAATTGCTAGACAAAGTATTGTGGTAATGTCTACATTTAGCTTCTACACCCAGAATAGAATAGCGGCATTAATTTGTTGAATAATAAACCGGGAGTGATCCCCCTAAACTTTCTCCAATATTCTTACATAACTCGGAATATAGACATGATTTTTAATTACTTAAACTTTTAAAAATAGAATAGAATCTCATAGAAAAATGAATTGCGCACCAAGCGAACGCCAAAACAAAATGTGTATAATAGTGCGCAATAGTATTAATACTTTATACATTTAAATTGCGTTTTTTGAGAAATCGGAAGTAGCGTAAATTAGTACTTCCGGTCAACGGAAATTACTCAACATTTGACCAAATGTAGAGAGTTAGATCTTTTACTTACATGTGAAATTTCATTTATGTATCTGAAATAGTACTCGAGTTATAGGCTTTTTTAAAATTCAAAGTAGAAAAAATACCACATGTTTATCGGAAATCACTCAAAAGCTGATACGGATCTACGATTTTGATAAAATACTTATATGTGTAATTTCATCAACTTAGCTGTAACGGTATTCAAGTTATCGTGTTTACATACGAACAGACAGACAGACAGACACACACACACACACAGACATATGGACACGATTGCAAAATTATGTTTTTTTCCTTATCAGTGAGGTGTGAAACGTCGAGATTTGTGAAAATCTCGATTTTTTTTTTCACGTTTACAAGACTTTCTCTATACTTCGTATATACGAGAAAGTAAAAATAGAATTAAGAATCGAATGCCTAATACGTTGCACAATAATATGACGTCTTTGATACTAGAGACAAAAGACGTTTAATTTAAATGTCTAATTTTAGAAGTGGGTATTTATATTTAAAAATTACCGGTAAGCGTTAGTATCAGGTTAAAGGTAGGGCTATTAGGTGTTTTATTTCAAGTTAAATTTCCGGATCCGTTTAAAATGCCAATCTGGATAAAATCCATTTGCCATGACATTTTTCATTTCCGGTTAAATTTTTCTTCTTCTTCTTCTTCCTTCTTAATTGTTAGTGTTGAAGGGGATCGAGATTTATCTGCCAGTGGGTTTGAACTCGAGACTTTGTTCGAATTTAACAACCATGAGCTTTTTGCCGACTCGACCACGCCTCCAACACAATTAAGCGTTACTTGTCAACTGGTTATGCGCCATTGAGGCCATTGACTCCGATTTCAGCCTGCTTTTCTTTTTGGATTTGCTTCCATAGCCTTTGTCCAACCAAGAACAAACTACAAGGCAGCAGTTGTTTAATTTTGGAGTTGTCTCTCCTAGAAGAGTGGCTGTCCCCAGCTAACGAGCCTCATCTGCCCGAGGGTTCGAACTCGAGACTTTTCAGTTAAATTTGAGATTGTGGTGGTGCTTTTGGTTTTGGTTTTAAGAAAAAGACATTTTGTAACTAGAAAATAATATAAGCCGCTAGGATGTATGTCAGTCCTCCCTTTCAACATTAATCAACTTTTAACGCCCAAGTACGATCTAGTATTCTAAATAATCAATATTTAAAATAAAAAACCATGATAGAGTTAAATAAAGCCCCGTCGTTAAATATTTCGTAATGTCTTATTATAAATTCAAGACTGAATTTGATTATGTACAGCCTTAATTTTTATATGATTCCCAGCTTAATAAGTGTGGACGGGTAGTGTGGGGCGGTGGTGTGGGACGGGTGGTGTGGGACGGGTGGTGTGGGAAGGTGATGTGGGGCGGTGGTGTGGGACGGGTGGTGTAGGGCAGGTGGTGTGGGACGGGTGGTGTGGGAAGGTGATGTGGGGCGGTGGTGTGGGACGGGTGGTGTGGGACGGGTGGTGTGGGAAGGTGGTGTGGGACGGGTGGTGTGGGAAGGTGGTGTGGGACGGGTGGTGTGGGAAGGTGATGTGGGGCGGTGGTGTGGGACGGGTGGTGTGGGACGGGTGGTGTGGGGCGGTGGTGTGGAGCGGGTGGTGTGGGACGGGTGGTGTGGGAAGGTGGTGTGGGGCGGTGGTGTGGGACGGGTGGTGTGGGAAGGTGGTGTGGGGCGGTGGTGTGGGACGGGTGGTGTGGGAAGGTGGTGTGGGACGGGTGGTGTGGGACGGGTGGTGTGGGACGGGTGGTGTGGGACGGGTGGTGTGGGACGGGTGGTGTGGTGTGGGAAGCTGGTGTGGGACGGGTGGTGTGGGACGGGTGGTGTGGTGTGGGAAGCTGGTGTGGGACGGGTGGTGTGGGACGGGTGGTGTGGGGCGGGTGGTGTGGGATGGGTGGTGTGGGAAGGTGGTGTGGGGCGGGTGGTGTGGGAAGTCTGTGTGGGAAGGTGGTGTGGGAAGGTGGTGTGGGGCGGGTGGTGTGGGATGGGTGGTGTGGGAAGGTGGTGTGGGAAGGTGGTGTGGGACGGGTGGTGTGGGACGGGCGGTGTGGGACGGGTGGTGTGGGGCGGGTGGTGTGGGATGGGTGGTGTGGGAAGGTGGTGTGGGGCGGGTGGTGTGGGACGGGTGGTGTGGGGCGGGTGGTGTGGGAAGGTGGTGTGGGATGGGTGGTGTGGGACGGGTGGTGTTGGGCGGGTGGTGTGGGACGGGTGGTGTGGGAAGGTGGTGTGGGGCGGGTGGTGTGGTGTGGGTGGTGTGGGACGGGTGGTGCGGGACGGGTGGTGTAGGGCAGGTGGTGTGGGACGGGTGGTGTGGGGCGGGTGGTGTTGGACGGGTGGTGTGGGACGGGTGGTGTGGGGCGGGTGGTGTGGGACGGGTGGTGTGGGACGGGTGGTGTGGGGCGGTGGTGTAGTACGGGTGGTGTGGGGCGGGTGTTGTGGGGCGCGTGTTGTGCTTAATTCTTTCTAATATCTAATTGAGTGACAATGTATTTAGCTTCTAGATCTCTAACCTATTTTGTTTTCTTTGGCGCCGTCAAACTCCAGAGTTAAAGAACGCCACAGGGATTTTTCAGTTGCAGCTTCCTTCCACGTCTTACAAACCTTAAAGATAATACAGACATGTAGCATCATGATAATCCAGGCCCGACACACCTTAAAGATAATACAGACATGTAGCATAATGATAATACAGGCACGACACAACTTAAAGATAATACAGACATGTAGCATCATGATAATACAGGCACGACACAACTTAAAGATAATACAGACATGTAGCATCCTGATAATCCATGCCCGACACACCTTAAAGATAATACAGACATGTAGCATCCTGATAATACAGGCCCGACACACCTTAAAGATAATACAGACATGTAGCATCATGCTAATCCAGGCCAGACACACCTTAAATATATACAGACATGTAGCATCCTGATAATACAGGCCCGACACAACTTAAAGATAATACAGACATGTAGCATCCTGATAATACAGACCCGACACACCTTAAAGATAATACAGAAATGTAGCATCCTGAAAATACAGGCCCGACACAACTTAAAGATAATACAGACATGTAGCATCCTGCTAACCATGCTCGACACACCTTAAAGATAATACAGACATGTAGCATCCTGCTAATCCATGCCCGACACACCTTAAAGATAATACAGACATGTATCATCATGATAATCCAATAACGGACAAGATAGGACTAGGTTCAATGTAAATTTAAAATAGTTTAGATGTCAAGTGTTTCTATTTATGTTGTCTTGTTTTTTTTTTTTTATGGTACTTGTCTTTTATTGATTTTTGTCGCGTTCTTAGTTGATTGTGTTCGTAATTGAATTGCACCACAAATTGTGTAAGCTTGTGTTGTGAGTATATTTTTTTTTCCATTATTTCAATCAGCAGAAACGTTAGTGAAAATAGAAAAAAAAATAATAAACCACAGAAAGAGTTATGTTACTATAGCCACGAATCTACGCCATATAACAAAATCTATCAGTAAGTTATGTGGCACACATTACCTGAGCTGAAGTTGCGACATCTTTTATTGGTAAATTGTTAAATATATTTAACAAAATCTCTGGCGGGAGATTCTCCCAACACTGACTAAACATTTTTTACAGCTATATCTTATTTTTAAATTTTGACTCAACTCGCTCACTTTGTTTATACGCACCGTATCTGCCACTTCCGAAATTTAATGACTATTTTTGGCAATATCCGATTTCAATTCACCAGAAAAATTGGTGCGTAAATCACTTTGTTCTTAGCCGAGTTTGTCTTTTTTGCCAACTTCTGATCGGGAAAAATGATCAAGCTGACCACTATTTGTTTGATCAAACTGACCCCCTACTTGTTTGATTAAATTGACCCGTACTTGTTTGATCAAACTGACCCCCTAATTGTTTGATCTAACTGACCCCCTACTTGTTTGATCTAACTGACCCCCTACTTGTTTGATCAAACTGACCCCCTACTTGTTTGATCAAACTGAGCCCCTACTTGTTTGATCAAACTGACCCCCTACTTCCTTGATCAAACTGACCCCCTACTTCCTTGATCAAACTGACCCCCTACTTGTTTGATCAAACTGACCCCCTACTTCCTTGATCAAACTGACCCCCTACTTGTTTGATCAAACTGACCCCCTACTTGTTTGATCAAACTGACGACATTCCTTTTGCCACAAGACTTCCTGTAGGGTATCAGCATGGAACTTTCCTGAAGGTACTTCAAGAGAAGACGGGCACGCGCACGCGCAGGGGTTAGTGAGCAAACTTTGCCTATAACTCTGGCTCGCTAAAACAATTTTAGCGCTGGAAAGAGGTAGTCTGCTCTCTCATCTGCTGGGTGGTCTAGGCTCGAATTTTTACTTGTGACGTCTTTTGTCTGAATAGTCACCAGTGTCTCCGAAAGCTGCTGAGTCATCAGACTGCCCATCGGCCGTGACGTCATCGTACTGCCAATCGTCCTTGACGTCATCATACATCCAATCGTCTGAGTCGTCATCCGACTGGTCATCTATGCCCCGGGCCCCAGCCTCTTCCCACGTGTGCTTGTCGTCAGGTGTCAGAGCGGTGCCGGGTCGATAGCTCCCACGTGACACCCAGGTCAAGATCCGGTCTAGAACAGCTTCCTCACTCGCGACAGCCTGTCAAAGTGTTTGGTTAAGGTTAGAGGTTTACCAGACATCTTAGGGAGTGGACAGCTTGTCAAATTGTCAAAATTCTACCGCTCCCCTCCTCGAACGAAATGAAATTTATATAATTTATTTAGAAAATATATACTTTTAACAATATCCGCTCCCCCCCCCTGAAGAAAGTCTACCTCCCCCCCCGAAAATTTCAAGTGCCCACACCCCCCCCCCCCCCGAGAAGAAAGTCTGGAAGAAACACTGACCAGACATCTTAGGGAGTGGACAGTCTGTCGAAGTTTTTGGTTAAGGTTAGAGGTTTACCAGACATCCCGGGGAGTGGATAGTATGTTAAAGTGTTTAAAAAGCCCCCCCCCCCCCCGAAAAAATTCTACCGCCCCCCCCCCTCTCGAACGAAATGAAATTTATATAATTTATTTAGAAAATATATACTTTTAACAGTGTTCGCCCCCCCCCCCACCGAAGAAAGTCTACCGCCCCCCCCCCGAAAATTTCAAGTGCCCCCCCCCCCCTCCGGAGAAGAAAGTCTGGAAGAAACACTGACCAGACATCTTGGGGAATGGACAGTCTGTCAAAGTGTTTTGTTAGAGGTTTGGTCAAAACTACTTAAGTCGTGCTACATACTTTGACTAAATCATTATTATTATAACCCTAACCCACAGACCAAAGTAAACCTCAGTAACCATACACCCCAGTACTCATAAAGCTTAGTTACTAAGTTAGTAAGATCCCATTACCCATAGACCCTTTTATCCATAAATCCCACGAACCAGAGGCCCCAGTAGCGGATCGGAGAGTAACAGTTTTTGAGAAGGTTTTTCGAAGGTTTTAGTTCAAGATCGAATTGATTGGTATCGTCCATAAAATATAAAAAGACATATTTAAAAAAAAAAAAAACTTATTTTAGATAATGAGGCATTGGTAAAAAAAATACAATAACTCGAGAATAAAATATAACAAATGAATAATGACACTAACATAATATGTTAATGCAACGGCAGATTGCACTGTCGACTCTGATCTGGCTCAATTCTTCATGGGTCGGTTGCTAGAAATGAAAAATGCATTCACTCCCCTGACAACCTTATATACGCTACTGAAAACCTTATTGTATCACTGACAACTTTATTCACTCCCCTGACAACTGTATTAAATGTTCATGATAGTCTTAGTAGAACATTATTTCCATTTAATTAAGCAAAAAATATAAGATCTAACGTTTGAGGTAAGCTTAAATTCAAATATATTAATTAAATAGTGATAGATCCGTTCGATCAAGCACAACTTACCAGTTACAGCATCATTTTAATGAATCTATCTTAATTTAAGAAAGTACATACTTTGTATAGTTAGAGGTTATATATACAATCTAAACTAAAATTTAAAAAAACGAATTCGTATATAAATCTAAATCAACCAAAATGCTACATTAAAGTTTTATCTTGTTGTTTCAAAAATAATAAAACAAGCCAACAAGAAGAATAATAAATGCTTTTGTCATTGTACCACTTCTATAGCACAAGATTGTCCCTTGGTTGTTATATTTACTTACATGGTAGATAACAATTGCAGGTTCATTTTAGCAATTTCATTTAACTTATTGAACAGTCATGCTATAAAAATCTAATATATCTCTTAAAATGTTACAATGCTTTCAATACATATTTACTTATACACTTGAATATGTTAATATTGCACGTTTCTAATTACTACATGGGTTTAGTTGCTATATTTTAAAGAAAATAGTTTAAGCTCCTTCGTTGGGAGGTAATGAAATGTAGAAAACGCTAATATTGTATATACTTACATGTATTACTACATTAATATCAAAAATAGTTTAATTATGTATATGATCATGAATGATTTTAAGAGATATGTTGTTACCTTCGACTTCATTTCCACATTCTAATTTGGTCATTCATTAAATATCGTTATATTCAAATGCAAACATTTCTATGAGAGAGAACATCACATACACTTGTTTTCGATGAACGAAAATTGACAAATTATTTACACATCTTCAATGTATTAACTGAAGATTCTTGGGTCTGCAAATGAAGTATTGAAAACATTTAAATTTTAATTAATGTTAAATTAAAATCATTGTAATGCATATTCTTGTTGAACAGATTGTAGGCTGGTAATTAAAATACAAAAATTGATAAACAAAACATATTAGCTATCGTTAGTAAGAAGTACAATTAAATGTCGTTAAAAACTTTTCTCTATCTATACTTGTTTCATTTTGTCTTAGATGACGTTACTCTGTCAGCGCACGTGAGAGTTGTCCAGAAGGCATCCGCTGTTTTATTACTTATGTTTCAAGATGTAACATTTGAGGGCTGTTGTTGATGTTTCCGTTGCAACTATTTTAGAAAAAACTCTTACACAATATACATGTAGTGCACTTTGATATTAAAGGACGCAATTTGCAAGCTATGAAATACTGCAGCTGATAAGTAGCCTTTTGTTCCAAAAAAAAATGTAAAAATAAATCAAAGGCATAACTGGATAGATGTGGTAATTGAAATTTGGGAGAGTAGTGGGGTTGGGGTCAGGTGGAACGCGGCATTAGTAATATGGCAAATTCAAAAACGTTTCATGTGTGCATCTATTCAAGGCTAATTTTATTTATGTAGATTTATTAACAAGTAAATTTTGAAATAACGTCCAATACTAATTTCGCAAAAACAAAGGGAATACTTTTTTTTTTTAAATGTGTACGTTAAATAATAAAGTAGGTAACTCCGTTTACTTGTTTTTTTTAGAATATTTAGTCGGTTATTCCCCTTTAAATTCTAAGACTGGGTGCATACATTGATTTTAGATGAAGCAGAAGATTTCAGCGACTTTGTGATGCGTGTAGTAGACAATAAGATTCAATAAACATGGTGTGATCTCCCCTAAAATGTGTCGAATATTCTTATACAAAACAACGGGGATGGTAACTCGGGATATGATTTTTAATCCATTTTTAATTACTTAAACTTTTAACAATAGATTAGGATCTTGTAGAAAAAAGAATTGCGCTCCAAGTGAATGGCAACAGTATATGTATAATAGTGCGGAATAGTATCAGCACTTTATAAATCCATATGCGTTTTTTTTTGCGAAATCGGAAATAGCGTAAATTACTACATCCGTTCAACGTAAAATTACCCAAAATTTGTCAGAAGGCAGACACTTATATATTTTACTTTCATGTGAAATTTCGTTTCTTTATCTAAAATAGTCGTCAAGTTATAGGCTTTTGAAAAACCCAAAAAAGATTAAGTTCCACTTCCGGTTACAGGAAATAGCTGAAAAGTTTATACATAACTAAAATGTGATATACTACTTTTATATACAATTTCATCAACCAAGTTAGCGGTACTAAAGTTATCGTGTTTACAGACATAACACATACACACAAACACACACACACACAGGCATACGGACAAAATAGCAAAACTATGTTTTTTCCGACTCAGCGAGGTGAAAAAAGACTACAATACTTCCTCTTTAATTCGTATACGAGAAAGTAAAAAAGACGATCTATATTTTATTCACTAATTCATTAGTAAAAAAGTAATTTAAAAAAGTCTAGTGACAATTTTAGCGCAATTTCCTTATGTTATCTAAAAATAGCTCTGTCGTAGCGTAAATCAAGAGCAGGGTTAGTAAAACCATTGGTTAGTTATTAAAACGTTTTTTATTAATTTTTTTTTCAGTATTTTACATGTTTTATTTACAATAGAGTAACATGACTAAAAACCATTGCGCGCCTAGCTACCGAACGTGATGTCGCAGCCATTGAACGTGATGGCGCAGCTATTGAACGTGATGACGCGTGTGGTGTGGTTGGAAAAACATGCCTACTAATTCGGTCCAAATTTTAATTAATTCAAAAAAAATTTTGTGACCGAACGAAAGGATATTTTTGAAAACTTTCTTCGGCAATATTGTTCTAAATTATGGCAGGAATCGATTGGTACATGTTTCAAGTCGCTAAGTGGTCTGGTTGCCA